CAGTACAGCATCTGGTTCTCCTTATTTCATGTCAGAAAGTGATCAAAGGCTCAGAATGGGGTGCTGCACTAACACTGTCTTTCGCAATAGCTTTGCTTGGTGATCTGTAGGAAGCGATAAGGTGTGTGAGGCCAGGCACCCTGCAGTCTCCCTCCTGGCTGCCAAGCAGGGTCAGCATGATGCTGCTTACACAGCAAGGTTGCTGAAGGACCCAGGAAGCACAGTGGTCCTTGCAAGGTCACTGAGAAAACTGAAGAGCAGAGCTGGGGATGGAGTTTAAAAGCTCTGAGTGCAAACCCTCGCTGGGAAATTACCTGCAAGTTTTCACTGTTCAGACAACAGAAGGGCAAGTGATGCTTGCTGGAGCCTTTTGCCCTTCCTTGGCACATGAGGAAGGAGCTGTGTCTTTGGTCCTGCCCTGCAGCCCGAGCGCAGCTCCTACAGAGATGTGCTGGAGCATTCCCTCTGGCAGTGTAAGAAGTACAAAGGCTGCTCTGAAGAGAAGGTGGGAGGGAAAGCATGAGAGACAGCAGTTGGGCTGGAGACCTGCTCTCACCTCGCACTCAAGAGCTCTGCAGCAAAAAGCAGGGGCTGGTTAGCAGCAAGTCTTTGGGCAGCGTGTGGCCAAAGTATCTAAAGGTGGGCAACCTGGGCTGATGCTGCCTCACTCAGCACTGGGCACTGACCACAGCCAGTTGCAGCGCTCAGGCCGTGCCTGGCTGAGAGCTGCAGGACAGGGAGCCCTGCGGGTGCCTGCACCCCAAGGAGCAATGCGTGCTCTGCAGCTGGGTTTAAGCATGTTGTACAGAAGGCTTCCCCAGAGCACACAGCGGGTGAGCTGGTACGGTTTTTCCCTGCTGACATGCAACTGTGGATGTATTTTCATGGAGGTTTGTTTTTTTCCTCATCAGTAAAACTGGCCAGAAGAGCAGCTACGTTAAAACAAGGACTAAATTGTTTTGATTTAAGCCTTTCCCACTTGGAAAGGGTCATTACTGGAACAATGGCTATAATAAAGCGATACTTGTTTACATGACTTTTCCATTAGCAGAGGAGAATTTGTGGGAGGTGTAAACTTTTCCAGACATTCAACTGGAGCTGCTTAATGAAACATTTTAACTGAAGCGTCAGGATATAAAAGGGTGATTTACCATGGCTCACTGCTGAGTTTGGGTGGTGGCAGAACATTTTAAACGAGTGTAAGAGAGTGAGCCCGTACTTCAGTGCACCACAGTACTTAGTGGCTCTGCTGTCTTCTCTATTTTATTACCCAGCTACAAACCCAGGCCACAGCTGCTGCCTCCAAGAGGTTCCATCAGAAGTCTCTGGCCACAGGGCTGGATCCTTCAAGGGCAGTACTGTTGGCCAAGGCAGCACTGCTGTGTCAAGGAGCCACTCTGTCTTCAGTCTGAGCAATGGAACCTCTTTCACAATAATAGTAATAATAATAATAATAATAATAATTAAAATAGCAACAAATGTTGCCACTGTACAGGTAGGTTATTCCCATCCCCAGAGACACTCAAGGTCAGGCTGAATGGGACTCTGAGCAATATGATTTAGCTGTAGATGACACTATTCATTGCAGGAGAGTTGGACTAGATGACCTTTAAGGGTCACTTTCAACTCAAGTGATTCTATGTTCATCTAGAAATCTACTGCATGTCTTCTCCAGTATGCGGCATTAATCATCTTACTGGGTGTGATGGGTCTCACTGTAGGGCCCTTTCACTGCTGCCACACCATGAAGGATGCATAGAGCAGGAGCAGGCCATGGTTCACCGTGCCAATAAAGGATGTGCAGAGCAGAAGTGGAACATGGTTCATCATGTCAATAAACCTCTAGACGAGGCTATTGTGCTCATGGAGGGTCAGTGCAGATGGAAATGGAGGTCAGAGCTGGCCAGGATGCTCCCCTATACAGTCTGAGCACCAAAGAGCACTGAAGTCAAGGCAGCACTGCTGCATGGAAGCGCTGCTCGCTCCGCATCATTTCTGGACCCTTCCTATAGCTATTTCTTGTGTAATTAAGTCCCCAGAGAAGACAGGTGAGAAAAATAACTTAGGAAAAGTATCAGTAGCCACAGCTGAGAAGCTACAGAGTTTTAAGGATTTGGGATGCTGGAACAAGCACCATGAGCCTCTCTAATAGGGAAACAGACACACAAAAGAACCAACACCTAAGGGTCAGATTATGGTACCTGCCACTTCAAATAAAACTGTACAAGAGAGGAATTCATACCCTGGAGGTCAGGCTTTTGACATATCCTCAGAAATGCTGGGTTCTGCTGGGGAAATACTTAAATTTCACCACATGAAGCAGCACAACATGGCTGGCCCTGCTCTTCTGGGAGGGCAAAGGGGCTCTGCTCCTGTGCTGGTGCACATTTCAAGCACAATGAAATTCCCAGGCTTCTCTTGGTTTTCCAGTACCGTAACTCACTTTTAACAATGAATATCTATTGCATCATTATCAGGCTGAAAATCTGTGTGCATGTTTATCCTCACAAACCCTGCCTTGCCACACAAGCAGCCCAGCAGTACTAATTGCTGCCATGAGCTAGTAGTGTCTGAATCATCTCTGTGGGTCAACTCTGAGTTTGTGCAAATGACATCCAGACATGGATGGTCCTGTAAATAAAGGTCCCTGTAAATAAAATTAAAGAGAGAAAAAAAAGTGAAAGATCAGGCAACGTTGGAGGGAAGCCAAATAAGATAACACTAAAGCAGCCAGTGCAGCTCTCTCAATTTGAAAAGACCTACTGACCCCACAGTTCTTACACTTGGCCCTCGAAAACAGAGAAACTCTGCCACAGGGATAAATCTTAAGTGCAGTAAGCTGCCTTGGGAGTAAATGTATGTAGAGCTCAATTTGTCCTGATAGATGGATAGACGGTGTCACACTTCACTTCATCTGACAGGAATAAGATTCATGCATGGTAAAAAATTGATTCAGAAAAGAGAAGACCGTCATGTGCTATTACTGTTACATTTGGTCTTAATAATTATGTACTATAAACAGATTTTGGTGCATAGCTTCTTCAAGGGGAAATACAAGCAAAAATAAAAATAAAACAAAGAGAAGCTCAGTGTATCTGTATAAAACAAGAACCAAGCTTCCCTGAGCACACTCCTCTTGAGAGAAGACTTTGATGGGTGGGAAGAACTAAGCTAAGTCCTATCCCGTTCACCCCTTTTTATCTCCATCCACCCCTGTCGTTGCTGCACCTAAAAGATCTGCTAAGGCAAGGAAAGGAAGGAAGAGAACTTGTCTGTGTGGCTTCCTGAAAGTGAATCCAAACCTTGTTACAGCTGCTTATTCTTCTTCTCCTGCCCTGTTTGCTTTGCCACAAAGGCAAGCAAGACACAGGACTCCTGAATGTTCTGTCCACTTAACGTGGTTTCACTGTCCCAACACACCCAGTGCTGGGCTGCTCTCTCTCCCTTGCAGTGCAAGGTAATCTGGGTGCCTGTGCCGCTGGCAGTAGAGCAGCCAGCCACCCATGAGTAAGGGGGGGGCGGAAGAGCCATATTTGTTTACATGTGATCAGTTACTGAATGTATTTGCTGTTTTCTTTTCTTGTGAATGGCTTTTTGTATCTTCTGGGGTACTTCCTGCCAACTAGAGCAGAGGAGGAGAGAAATAAAATACAATCCAGGTGTTAACAAAAGTCACCCTCTGCAATCAAAAATGCTATAAACATCATCCTTTTCCCTTCTCTTCCTTTTCTAAAACAATTGAATGCAATCCACCAGGGAGAGTGATTCACCATCAAATCTCTCTGTTTAATCAGCATGCCCAAGAAGATGTTTGTCTTCTTATAATTATGTGGTGCACAGACAATGTATGCTGTGCTCCTTTCCAGTGTAAGTGAACCAGGTGAGGAATCCCTTGGAGTCCCACAGCCCTTATCTGATGGGCAGCCCCATTCTCTAGTCACAAAACTGAAATTAAATTGATGTCATTACTACCAAGGGTAAACAGCCTGATGCCAGATTACAAGGCTCCTTCTCACTTCCCTCTTTCTCTACATCCTGCCACTTGTGGGTGTGCATACACATGCATACTCACTCTCACACACGCACTAACTTAGCCAAATTTTCTTATCTACGTGATTTATCACCACTGTGCTTTTACAGCTAGGCAGGTAGGGGCTGTGAGCTGAGTATCTTTATGGAGAAAATATTTAACTGCAGCACATTAAGATAGAAGGTGAGGGAATTGGAACAACATAATGAAGAGAGCGGTGGCAAATGAAAAGATGGAGCAGATAAGCAAAGAAGAAAGAGCCTTTAACAAAATGCACAACAAATAGAGGAATGCAAAAGATTGTTTCTATGGCAATGTAAGTGAGACTGCAAAACTGCTGTCTGCAAGAAAACGTATTTAAAATGAAACAGGAGGTAACTGAGGTAACAGATCTTGTGTCACTAATAGCAAAGTAATTTGGCGTTACTAAGCCTCCCGTGTTCCCAGCCCTTCCCACCAGATGCAACACAAGAGCACTGCTGCCAGCCCTCAGCTCTTGCCCTGCCCAGTTGGGCTCCAGCATTGAGTGAGGTGTGGGGCCACTCCTCCAGCCAGAAAAAAAGCCACCCTGCCCCGTCCCCACTCCTTTCCTAAAAATGTATAGCTCTGGAGACCCACAGAAGCCTTTCTCATGTGCCATGTGTAATGGAGGTGTCAACTCAGCAGCTCCAGTCTGTCCCCATGGCCCCTTTTAGGATGAGTCAGCCTCAGTAATAGATTCCCCTAGGGCATCACTAACCATCTCTCAGCACCATTTTTGGCAGAAATGTGCAAATGTGGGGAGGGGACTAAGAAAAAGTCAGTTTAGCTTAGGGAAGAGCTGCCCCATACCTTTGTGGAAGCCTTTTGGAACAGAGATCTTGAGAGGAGGAAAGTGACGGGAAAGGGAAGTTCTTGGGACTTCTTAGGTGCACAGGGCACAGAGGTGGCTGCAGGAGAGAACAGCAATCAGGCCAGGGCTTGGCTTGCACAAGAAATATCAGCATCATTTCTCTGCAGAACCAGACTGCAAGAGAAACAAGATGTCAGTGGAACTGCAAAGAGATTACTTCAATACACAGTCTGATTAGTTTTGCTATTAGTTGCCTGTCTTTCAGCTACATGGCATTTTTGTTCCCTAAATTCCATCACACTCTATTTATTTCCATTTACTGAATTTTAAAAGCCATAACCTATCACCTCGGGCAATGGGCTGAGGCTTTGAAGAGCTGGGTCTGACTTGTCACAGCACATGCAGCCACAGCAATGCCTTTATCCAAAAATCAGGGATAATACATGCATATGCAACCAAAGCCAGCTTATGAGATCTTCGTATGAGGACCTTCTAATTGTTGAGGACACACAGTGCTATTTGTATTGCCTTTGAATGAAATCCAGCTTTTTTTTAAATATTAGACAGCTTATTTATTCTTAGTGCTTCTATGTGTGCTAATGCCACCATCATCTATCAAAATGCAGCTGGTGTCAGCTGTATTTCTCTGGTGTCAACCTGAGTAAACAGCAGAGAATCAGTTCCTTTCCCTCTAATTAGCCACCTTTGCTCCCATAAATGCTGTCTGGAAATGGTTTTCCCTCCACTGACCAAGCTGCAGAGCTTTCTTCTGCAGTGCCTCCCTGCTGATGCTGTATGGCCACCACTCAGCTACCTTCAGCTGCCCACCTTCTGCTTGTCACTGCAGCATGCCCATTGACTACAGCCCAATTGCTCACACAAGAAAGAGATGTAATATTGGTGCCTGATGCACTCTGCAGTCCGATCCCTTCTTGGATTTCTCAGTAACCCAGGCTTCAATTCACCTGTGCTCTTCCATTCTACCTTCAAACGTAGAGCTACCCACACCCCACTGTGAGGATGGGCTGAAAGAAACCTGTCCAGCTCAGAACAAACATCCAGATACAGCACATTCACAAACACCCCAACATCTCTCTTCTACCCTTTCAAGTTTGGGGCTTGGTTTTTGGGTTGATTCCTTCTGTGCTTTTTGTTTTGTTTTGTTGCTGTAACAATGTTCCTTGTGGAAGCAGCCTGCCTGACAGCCTTTCTGGCTAAAATCTGCTGTTTATCAGCAGAGCAGGAACGGTCTGTGCTGTGGAAGCTTTCTTATTCTCATCACCTACATGCCACTAGTCTGCTTTGAAGAGGCACCTCTAGGGGTGAAAGCATACTTCTGTCTCTAAGCTAAATTCAATCCCTGATCTCTTTGCAGAGACTAACAGCAAGGGAGACGTTTGGTATGATTGATGGGAGCCAAATGAATAATTCATGCCTGATCATTTATTTTGATGAATTTTAGCCTCTTTTTCTGTTTGCAAATTGTCTGCAAGTAGCTTATGAACATCTCAAATGTATACGGGATTTGAAATTAACTGCTGGATACTTTCTGGAAATAATTTCTAACCAGTAGATTGCTCATGAACCATTCAGTGGAAGCATTTGAAATTTCTGATTCCAGCCACGTCGATTAGCCTTGATTGCTCTGGTGAGCCAGAAGCTGATCCACAACATTGGTGTAAAGGCAGAGAAACTTCACAGACAGCACTGGGGCATGACTCCAGGTTTACTTTGGTGTTACACCTCAGAATCAGACCAGAAAATATTTCTGCTCTCTAATCAGGTAGGTAACATTTTAAATCAAGCATCCTCAGTGACCAGGAGAGGAGAAAATAAAACAAAATGATTATATGTTTACATTTCTTTTCCTTGAATCATGAAATATTTTGCCCCAATACCTCTCTCTAGAAGTAAATACCGTATCTTTAACATGCCTGGCTATCAGTCACCTGTCACTTCTTACCTGACACATTTCTCATCAGTTACCATGATGTTCCTGCTTCTAGAAACTCTTCAAATTAGTTTGCTGAAGCAAACCCAGGACTGAACTCAAACCACCATGCCCTCACAGTCCTACACTGATGTTGCCCCTGTATGGAACTGGTATGGAACTGGTGAGATACAACAGGGGACTACATTCACGTCACATGCATCCCAGCATGCATGGCCCCTTCAGGTTGCTTCAGGTTGCCTGAATTACACAGTGCAGACTTTGCATCCTGGTGGCCCAGGTGCCTGGGATGAAGCATAAATACTGCTGCCAGAGGACAAAAACCTGCCTCCAGATTCCATATCTTCCCAACTGGAGTCAGAAACTGAGTTCAGAGTAAACTTGGAGAGGAATCATGCCAAAGCCATGTCTGGAACCAAACAGGACAAGGCTGAGGTACTGTGTTTGGTACAAGGACCATCCACAGCTGGTCTGCAGAACAAGGAGATAACACCACATTCAGTAACAGTAAGATGGGGTTGGAGCCCAAGGGAAAGACTGTGTGTTTTTGGTAGAACAGCTCAGCCTGGTAAGGGCTGCACAGCCTCTCTCTGAGGGACAGGAGGAAGGAACTTTTGCTTTAACATTTTAATTACAGTCTTTTAGTAAAGCAGATCAAGACAGAGCTGCAGTTAATGGAATGCCATTTTGGGGAGGCAGAAAAGGGATCTCCCATTGGGCTGGGTACCTCTGGATACACTGTCATTCAGTGAATGCTTAAGTGACATTCATCTGGGCCTATGGTCCCTGCGTCAAATTCCTGCTGGCTTTCTGTGGATCGCCACATCTATTTTCCACAGGCACCAAGTGGCCAAGCAGCTGGCAGCGCAGTCAGACTGCTCACATCACTCCCATCTGAGCAAGCACCCCAGCAGGGAAAGGCTGTGCCACCCAGCCCTGCACTGACAGTTGTCACAGCAAAGCAAGCAGATAAGACTCTTAGTCAACTGCAAGCTGACAATCTGACTGAAAATCCTCTCCGGTCAGGTCCTCTGGCTTCAGCAATGCCACTGCTATTCAGAAGTCGTAAGGCCCTGCTCCAACACAGAGACAGAGCTCAGTCTGAATGCTGAGTGACATCTGGGCATTTGCTCCTCCAGCCCTCCCTGCCCGCAAACAGCCAGGTCAGCACACACGGGGACATGGGAACTCCTCAGTGATGGGAGCCAACAGCTCCTTCTTCAGTTTTTCCCACCTCCACCCTTGACTTCCTCGATATCACATCTCTGCTGGCTTTTTGCTGTGTTTCCCCAAGCCTACTGCATCATATTTGTTTTTTCACTCTGGGCCCGATTGAATCAGAAATCCGAAAATGGAGGGGGTGGTAGTGGCAAACACAAGCACCCTGACTGGAGGGTGACATTTCCTCACAGCGGAGCAAAAATTGCGTGGCACTCCTGGCCCACCCCTTGTTTGCGTGAGCTTTTTGCTGAAAGACTTCCAAGCCTGCCACTGCTGAAATCTTTTTGGCAGCCAAGTCTTAAATATAGACTCTAATCATAACTGCACATGTTGTACAATCAGCCCAAAAACTGATTAACTTTTACGTAAGCTTATGCTCAAGGGGCAACTCAAGATGTGGGAGCTGGCAGCAGTTCAGGGCCTGAGCTGGTGTCTCTGTGCTGAAGGTACCATAAAAACAGTGCGTGGCATACTTAATCGAGAACCAAATTGTACATAATGGGAAATTAAGATGGAATAGCCTTCATAAATTAGGTGGACCATCAGGCCATATTACATATACATATATAGAATGTGGTAGAACGAACTGCTGTGAAAATGCTTATTTTACTGAACATGGACTTCATGTGTTTTATTATTCAGTAGTCCTATTTCATCAATGGAGGATTTTTCATTTCAATTTGAGAAAAATGCAGGAGGGAATAATAAACTACTTCAGCCCATGTTGTTTCTGTAGAAGAAAATGGATGAGATGGGATAAAGAGGTATTTGTCAGGGGATGTATCCAAACCCATTGCCAGGATACTCAGCCCTGTGAGTACAGCTCAAACACACTGTAGCAGGCATCCATGACAGTGTTAACGTTGTATCTTAGAACATAAGCTCATATACAGCAAGGTCTATAGCCAAGATCCGGTAAAAAACTGCCTCTGAAATCAAACCACAAGGAAGTCTGCACCTTTGCTTGAAATGTTCAGCACTAATCCTGCGAGGGGACAAAGACCTCAACTCAGTGGCCCTTCGTTCTCTTCTGGTACTTTAATTGTGCACTGCAAGTTTCTGGTTTTCCTGAGAAAAATGAACATTATTTTCCATGCAATCTCCCATACAAAAAAAATAATCTCTTTATTGGTCTGTAGTCCCCAGTGGTCACATTTCACATCCCAAGCCCCCAGTGCACCTGGTGCACTGAAAGTGAACTATAAAGCAGTCAGTGTTTGAACAGCTGCCAGGAAGTGCTCCTACTCTGGCTTTCTTTCCCAGGCAGTGGGTGCTTCATCTTTAAAATCAATCTGATGCATTGGCATCAGCCCAGCAATCGTGAGTCCATCTGCCGCCTCACTCCCTGTCTGTTTGCAGAGGCTTGCCATCAGCTGTGCAAATCCCTCTTTTCTCCCCTCCAAGGAATTTCCTTTTTTTTTTTTTTTTTTTTTTTTTTTTGCCCCCCCCACTAGCCCACCAGGATCCCCCAAATCCCCACTTTACTTTCTGTTTCATAATCAGCTTCCAGAAAGCCACAGAAAGAAGCTTAGGAGCACAGAGAGCAATCAACACTACTTCTAATGTGGCTGGCAGGGTAAGCACAGTACAACAGGATAGGCAAGGCAGAAGGAGCTCACCTTTCCCTAAGGGGCAAGAGAGCAGATCTGACCCAATATCGGGCTCAGCACTGAGCCTGCCCCAGCCAAACTCATAGAGGAACATGAGCCATCACGTAACCCCTGGCTGAGTTCAAGTGCCTTCCTTTCATGGGGCTCTGCACCAATCCTTTCCACTCCTCCTCCCTCCCTCCCACCCCTCTTTACTGCCTCATGAATGCCTCATGAAGGGAACAGACCTCATGTATAATAGCTCAGGCTGCTCAACCTGTTAAAGAGTCCCAGCTAGATGCAAAACTTACCTCTCACCAGGCTGGCTCACTCTGCCTGACCCTCTCCACAATTTCCTCTGAGCAGTAGCCAGCTTCTTCCCTTCACATCACAGAGCACAGGCGACTCCCATCATGGTGGGCACTGACTGTAGGCCCCAGCAGAGTCACTCAAGGATGGTGAGGCTCCCCGGAATCACCGTGCACATCCCCTGGGTTGGAAGAGACATAAAGAGGCCTTACAGCATGCATTTCCCCCCCCACGCTTGTGGCAAAGCTGTATTGCAGCGCTGGGGTGCTACCCTGCAGTGTTGCTGCAACCCAGAACAAAGAAGCCATTCAGCCCTGGCCACACAGCAGTTTCATGCTGCAGATGAACATCCACCACTGTTACCAGTACTGCAGCCCAGAGAAATTAAATGCAAATCGTCTCTGCTTCCAAACACAGATCCACATTTCTTCAGCCCCAGGAGCCTAACAAATACCCCCTGTGCTCCCCATTTGTTCTCTGCCTATCACCTGCTTGTCAGCTAACGCCCTGCTATGCCAGGGGATTTAGCCACAGCACAGCCTGGTGATGTGCAACAGCACACAGATAAACTTTTAGGGGTGTAGCTACACAGATATCACATGCAACAGGAACATTCCAAAACCAGGGATCAGTCGGTTGGTCAGCAGGCAACACAGCTACACACAGGAGGCTTTCAGTTCTCAGGGGAAAGGCAGTGCTGTTTCAAAGCCTAGCCATCCACAACCACCCCAAGCTGGGCAGTAGTGATATTGTTCCTCCAAATCTTGATGCAAGAAACCCTACATCTCCTGCCACAGTCCTGGGAATAAGAAGATAGAGTTGATCCAATGAAAGGCAGGCTGGAGATCAAAGAAAGTTTTCCATGACATTAATCTTCAAAGGTAGGAAATAACTTCCTGAGGACACTGAGAATGCTCCATTGTTTGATGCACCTAATCCTACAACAGAGGAAAACAAACAGAACAGAGAAAGAAAAATCTTTCTGACAGCACAGGTGGGTCACTAGTCATTGTGCAAAAACACTTGACACACCAGAGGCACTCATCCCACAAGGTCCTTAAACACACCCATCCCTGCACCCATGCAGAGCTCTACTACGGCCAGCAAGGGGCTAGAACTAGATGGTCTTTGAGGCCCTTTCCAACCCAAGCCATTCTATGAGAATATGATTCTTTATGATCAGCTTGGTTTCCTGCACACAACCTGCTGACACCCTATGTAACACTCACTCTGTGGCTGGATCATAAATAGCATGGAGGCAGTTTTGCAGTAATGAAGATGGGCCCCTCAGCTTTCAGTTCAGACACTTGAGCTGCTATAGCTCAAAAGACACTGTGTATCTGCTGAGCTGCAGTGGCTGACTGTACACACGCTTAGCCTATCACAGAAGCGAGATCTAACATATTTGCTTAAACCATTTTCACTGAGGCTTAAGCAAATACACTTTACCTTGTATTTGGTCACAATGCACTTGCCTGTCTGAGCCCCCAGTTTGTAATAGTTTGTGCTTTTAGATTCACAAATCCCAGGTTCAAGCCTAGGCATGACATTGTTGAAGGTTATGATGTTTCACCAACACCCATGATCTGCACAGACCTGATAGTTAGTCCACAGCATGTATTTCTATACTGAGGTTATCATTGTGGTATCTGATCAGTCCTATCCACTACCAGCCACCAGGTAACTCTGAAGCACCAGCATCCAGGTCACCAGCTATGCAGTTTGTGAGCAATGAGGCAGATAAATATCTGATTTAGGATAGATGAACCTGCAGCTGGCTGACGCATTAAGTGAGCTTCATTTAAAGTAGCCACATATGTGTTTTCCCTACAGTTAGGATCTTCATCATCTGTACATTAGCTAATAAGCTTGCTTACACACAGAGATGCGCTCTCCCAGCACACTGGGGGAAAACTCCATTTGCACAAGTCAGTTCCTGTAGGGAGAGCACACAGAGCTGGATAGTCCCTTGCCAAAAGAAAATGATTAAAGACACAAATCAGACAAAACCATATGGCATCAAACCATTGGGTCCATTATTCTTCCCCTTAAGGATTGGGCAGGGTTCTTGCAGATGCTGAAAATCTTTCCATGGCCTCCAAAACATGAATTAGCACATTTGTTCACTTCTTAGCAGGAAAACCCAACCCAAGGCAGGAGGAGCAACGTGGCTTCAGACAGCTGGTACATGACAGAAAAGCAGCCAGCAGACTGAAAGCAGCAAGGCTTCAGCTTTCCACGCTGTTGCTGGAGACCCCTAGAAACTGTTAGAGGAATCAGAGAACATGAAGGCGTGTATTGGAAAAGCAGTTGAAAAAGATAGTGCATTTAGAGAAGGTTGAGCAGCTGAGCAGTCATTTATACAGCCTGCCTTCCCCTCAAGCGGTGTGACGTGCCCCATTAACCACTTGGTTTAACATCTCAGAAGCCTGAAAGTTAACAACACAGTTACCAAGCCTGACCAGGGAATATAAGTATATAATATAACTCACACTAAGTGATGAGCTGTAGCTTTGCTTTAGCAAATAAAGTAGCCTGCATTTCTGGAGCCCAAGGAATGCTGTACTGCAGGCAAAAAATTATTTCCATAATCACTATGCAAACAGAAGAAATGCATAAAAGGTGAAATACTGCAGACACTGGGAAACAGTGCTCAGCATATAAGATAAGCAGCCTGTCAGAGATGGTCAAGCCCAGCACTGAAAAAGAGAAGCAAGACAAGATGAAGGCTCACAAACCAAGATATCCACAAAAGCTGAGCACGAAACCATCTCATATTTCAATTGAAGAGCAGTAAAAGGTATTACCTTATGTACTGGTACAGTACAAGGAGCCCACACTCAACATATCCCAGCTTGTACTGCTGTTACTAACAGCCCGCAGTTGAGTACAGCTCATGTCCAGTGCTAAACATCTTGATGGTGAAGAGCAATATGTCTCGAGGGAATTCAAGGCAAGGGGAATGGAACCACCCACTCTGTAATACATGTTATGTAGTTTTCAAGACCCACTTTTCAAGGCTCTGGAAGCCACAACCCTAGCTAACATCTAACAGCTGCAAGGAATTAGTCTCTGTGATACTGTTCACCTGTGTTCTACATTGGCTCTAAGAGAAAAAGCAAGAAGGGGCTACTACTGAAACGCTCATTTGTTTTAATCTGTCCCATTCCTCAGTACAACTCCCATTCCAGCCATCTCATAATAACAAAATAAACACATTCTTCAAGTTGTATAAATAGAAAATCAGGGCAGACCTTGCTTTGAACCAAGCTGCCTCGGGAATATCTACTCCTGCTGTCTCTCTGTATGCTTTCCACTTGAGCACTTTCTACTGGCTTTGAAGCAACTCTCGAAACATACCTGCATTTGGATCTCTGTATGTTCCATTTTAAGATGGTCTTGAAAGGACAGCCTCTCACCCTACTTGGATCCCAAAAAGCACAGCATTACATAAGGAGGCCTCAGTGGCTCATCTCATTCACTGAGCTAAAAGCGCAGTTCTTGTTACAGAGAGAAAACTACATAATAAGCTACACAACCATAAACTTAATCCTCCCATGGCACTGCTGCAAGAGAATCCATTCTTATTCCAAGGCAAGGTATTGAAGCCAACATAAACCTGCTCTGCCACCAGAGGTGTGACTGCAGTGCTTCTAGCTGCTCTTGGGCCAGCTCTAATCAAGGGAACTGTGATGGCTGCACCTGGTGATGGAGCTACAGTAATAAAGGCCAAAGGGAAGAGTACAGCCCCAGCTGTAGCAACAAGGTGACCAGGATTAAGGGCTGATTTTGGAGCTCTTGCACCTGTTAGAAGGCATCTGAGAGCTGCTGGTGCTGAATGCCTCCACCTGCAGCACAGCCATGCCAGTGAGCAGAGCAGAAGGTTCCACACAGGGCTGAGCCACACCTGGAGCAGCCTCCTGGGGCTTCAGAGGAAAAAGTGCTCCTGTGAAAGCAATTGATGCTCCTCTATCAGAGGGCTGGAAGAAGCTGCTGCCAGCAGCATCAGTGGGGGCTGCTCTTATTGTAGCAGATAAACTCAGGTCACTTCTCTGTGTACTAGCTTTGTCTTCTCAATTCCTTTTACTGGCAAACTACACAGCCAGAAGTGCGTAAGGGAAGAGATGAGCTCCTGTTACAACCAGGCAGGTGATAAAGAAGGATCCTTCCGTTCCCATCCTGACACAAGTACTTCTATTTTAAGCCAGTATTTTCTTTCTTCAAGATTTCAGACTAGTTTACCAAAAGAGAACAATGACAAACAGCCTCTTGGTCTGATGAAGTTCAGGTAAAGCTCTCAAAGTGTCAAATTCACATTAGTTGAATGAATTCTTAAAAAAAATAATAAATAAAAAAATCAACCCCACAATTGCTCTATTTGGCAAGCCACTTTCTGTCAGAGAAGCACATGTGGTCTACTTGACCTTAAATTAGGAATTAAAATATATAAAGCTGTGTAGATCATCTGTGTAGTTTAATAAAATCTACATTTCAGACTGATGGCATTTATCCTGGATGACACCTGCTGTAGCATTTCATTCCTTTATTGCCTTACGGAGCTCGATAGATATTTGCACCTTACTTAAATTTGCATTTGGTGGAATATAGCTCCTAGCTATGTTTGTGTGTGTTGGTTTGGGGTTTTTTTTTGGTTGTTTTTTCTTTTTCCCCCCAGTCTCCTTTACTAAGCAATTCAGTTTATAATTCTAAGACTACAGCTCATACGTATAGTAGCTGGATTCACAGTTTAAAAGCCTCTGTGAACTCAACCAATAAAATATTAATAGAATTCTTAATTAACATTATTGTTATCACCCTTGTTGCTGTTGTGGGTGTTGATGTTTAGTAGCACCCCTGAGAAGCTTCACTCAAAAAAACAGACAGAATGCATCTCCTGACTTGAGGACCTTAATGTCAAAAATTTGGCTTTGTGGAAGATATGCTGCAGGCACCCACAGGTTATTGGGCTTCCTCCAGCAGCACCTATATTAAGCTCAATATCTGTAATGTGATACAAAGGAGGTCTGGTTCAATGATCTACTAGTCCCTCCTGTTTCCAAAGTCATGAATCTAAATAAACAGGACAGGAAGAAGATAGAGGTGAAATCATTTAGCAAGCAGCAGAGAACTGCCCCATATGCAGATTGGTGAACTGAGAGCATAGCACTCAACCCACTAAATCAGCAGGTTACATCCATATACTGTGTACTTGTGTGCACTTTGAGGGCACAACAGACAGCGTTTGGGAGATAAAGATGAAAGAGGGAAGTGGGAGTACATTTGGTTTAGATTATTTTAAAGTTTTTAACACCCGAGCCTTCCTGCCAGAATCTTTCATGGCTTTTCTCCACCTCCTGAGTCCTGCAACACATCCACTGTGAAATGATGTGCTGGATTACACCGGTTCCCATAAAAACACCTAAGACATTGTAAGTGTATGTAAATTCAAGCTTTCAAATAGGCTTTTCTTCACCTTGCAATTGCAAGCTATTTTTACGTTCCCCTTTCCTGCTGCAGGTCTCAGCCAACCACGACCTCCTTTTTTGCAGTTGCCTGTGCTAGCATAAACGTAGGGTTGAGATGCAGTGACATGTAGGTTAGGGGAGACAGAAGCAACAAAGGCTGCACAGATGCCAGGTGGGAGTTGTAGGGGTAGGTGGAACTGCACCTAGAATGAAATTGCTCCTCTTTTCATACTGCAGCTTTATTTACCTCTGTACCTTGTTCTTCTCATCATCCCTATTCCCTTTCAAGTCTTTGCTATTAAGACTATTAGGGAAATTATTCATTCAATTGCTTGCAGAAGCTGCGCAAAGATAAATACATTCAGCTTAATAAACCTTGTTAGCAGGAAGGAAGCGGAGAATGCCTAATTAATGTATTAATGATTATAATGCACTTTGAAGATGAGAAGTGCCATGAGCTCTAAGGGCATACTTCTGCCCTCAGAAGTCCCTAGAAATTGTGTGCAGAAGTTAATTCTAAACATTACCACTACCACAGTGTGGCAAGAAAAAAGATGCACAACTGCTTCTCAGCGCCTGGGCCTACATCTTCCAGGAACTGCTTCTGTGTTAAGACAACATTGCTACACAGTCTTCTCCAAAAACAGGAACAGAAGAATGCTAAGAGGTACCACTTAATGCAAGTTGTCCACACTGTGTGTATAATATATGGCCTAGCTGTGATACCACTGTACTTACCTTGAAAGAACAGATTGAAACTTCAAGGCGTTGGAAGAAAGTTTAACACCACCATCTCATGCCATTCACACTAACAGATTTTGCCTAGCTCTTAGTATGCTTTGTCTCCCCTCAAACAGGAGCCCTTGCTAATAAAGGAGCTGTGAAAGATCTGGTGATGTTCTTACAGTAGTAGCAGTTTAGGGCAAAAGTGAAGGCAATAGAATAGCAGATGATAATCCCAGGCTATTGCACAAAAAGAACTCTTGGGTCAAAGATTTCCAGCTGGTGAAGTTTCCATGGTTCAGGAATGAAGGTATCTCTCCTCCCCAGTTTTCTCCTCACCCAGACAATGCAGCACATGTTGAGATCTGAAGAACACATGTGCCCCTTGCAGCAGTACGAAGTCTGTCTTTACAGCAAGGGAAAATAAGTAGCTTAGAAAGTCTCCTAGATGTCACTGCACAACAAAATATGAGGTGTTAATAACAGGTTTCTTAGACACACATTACCTTTGGATGCGCTACCAAGAGGCACACACTCTCAGCTCTCCCTGTTATGGACTTGGGTTATGAAAACATTAATAAGCATAATTTAAATTGTCAGTTTGAAGAAATCAGGTACTAGAAGCACACATTTGCATAGCTGTCTCCTGAAAATACTGAGCAGTCTTGACAAGTCTTAGAAAAGAAAGTAACATGCACATTAAAATGCACATTAAAAGAACAGCAAGTCTCATGCACGTCTAGTGGGAGGACAAAAGGGACGGGAATTATGCTGTCAGTCTACATGTTTTCCAACAATCACTTAGGATTTTGTGAATAAATGCAATGATGCTCTATTACTTACCTCTCTAGCTCTGAAAACCGAAACCCTTAGTTTAGCCAGCTACCCACAGAGCACCACACATCCTGTGAACCTCACAAGTCCTTCCAGGGGAAAACTTGTAACCGTGCAAGGGCCAAAGAAATCATGGCCTAGGCACCAAGGTGACCTGCAGCAGATCCAAGAGTAAATCCAGATGAAAGCCCTGAGCAGTGAGTGCTGGGAATCCATTGCATCACTGTGAGCCGTTGACAGGAACAACCAGCGGTCACTTGTGTTTGGACAGACAGCCTGTGTTCAGCTTTACAAGGTTAACATCAGTAGCCGTTTGCTCAAGTGTCTTTTCTCAAGTGATAAGCATGGATGGTTACTTCCCCTGTGGGGATTATAAACTGACAGTTACTGAGTGGATGAAGAATAATAAATCATCCTTCAGCCCCCTCCCCCCTCCCCCCAAGTTAATGCACAATCTGATATAGCTGAGGCTTTGTTTGTGCAGGCCATGTAATTCACCAAAAGCATAATTGATCAAATTTGTTTTTATGGATTTGTCTGTTTGTATCACAACATGAAAATCTGATTGCTTTGTACCGTGGGCATTTACTCTTCACTTTGTTTCTTGGGGAATTAACAAAAGCTAAACCCAGCAACACTGCTCCCTGGGGTTACTGAAGGGAACTCCCACATGCTTCTGTAAAACTGGCATGAAAAACTAAACATAAACCAGTCACTTCTCGCTGCAGTACTGTTTCTTCTCCCACCCACTGTCTCTCACACCTGGTTGTGTGTAAGGACAGCGAGTGCCCACTCACAGTTCACACTGCAGCACACAACAAGGTGCCTGCAATCAAAAGAGGATTCTAG